AGAGAGAGAGAGAGTTCTACGGCCCTCCAGGCCTTGGGTGTGAGATTCTTATCCTAAGGGGGATTGAGACCTGATCTAGGCAAAGGGAGCTCTAATGTGAGTGGGAGTGCTTTGAAGAGATTCGAGGAGTTCTATCCTAGATGGAGGAACATTTGTTAACTCCAAACCTTGGTTATGAGATTCTTCACTGGAGGGAAATTACATCAAGTGATTGGAGCAAGGAAGGGAGACTTGGGAAAGATCAAAGGCTCTTGAGACCAAAAGTCAGCCTAGGCTAGATTAAACCCAACCTCCTCTTCAAGAGATTGTGTAATTGAGAGAGAATTTTTAGGAAAAGAGACATCCCCCATGTCCCATATCACAGGGTAAAGAAGCTCATAATCTTGCTGGGTCATGGCGTTTGTTTTGTATTCCTATTCCTTTCTATTTTACTTTCCTTGAAAAGTCAATCAGAGGTACTTCTCCATGGGAGATCGTAAGTCAATGGGTCACTTATGAAGGGCCTTGAGCTAGGTCCCTGAACCCGTATACATAAAAACTTGAGATTCGTGTCATGTGTTCGGTGTGTTTTTCTTTGCTTTCTCTGGTTTATTTCATTTGTGGTCTCAAAAACATTCTGCACCACCAAACTACAATCGTGAGTCTCCAATGTGCAGTCCCCTAGTCACCAAATCCAAATATACTCTTTAATCAATTTTCAGATACATCGTTTATAGATGCTTGTAGCCTTACTATCCTAATGTGTTTCAATATGTGTGTGTTTACGAGTAATTTTTCTCAAAGCGGAGAAGCTGTGTTTCTTTGCCTGGCTTCTTTGCATGCAGGGCTGCAAGGGGGCTGCCCAAGGTCATCCTAGACCCGGCCCTGATCTGACCCCTGCCCAACAATGTGGAAAGCAAACTTGCCTAAGCCAGGTTTTATTTTTACTTGAAACAACCATGGCCCGGCCTTTCCAGGTTGCGGTCATCAAGACTCTTCAGCATCAATTAATTTACATCAAACCTCCGTTTTATAGTCCCTCTCCTTACTGTTGGTGAGTTTCTTCTATAGTCCCTCTCCTTTGGTGTGGGATATCATTCCCCTTCAAGTCATTTTTCTTCCCAACCACTGATCTCTCTCTCTCTCTCTCTCTCTCTCAATCCATGTGAAGTTCATCTCTCTGTAATCCTATTAAAGTGCACTCTCTAATCCCATCGGATTCCCTGCATAGCCCATGGTGTCCTACAAATCCACATTGAATTGTGATCTGATGGCTCCATCTCTAACCTGTGTCAAAACAAGGAACCCGTCAAGAACACCCAACTATCTTTCTTATGAAATAAATATCTCAACAGGGCTCTCACCCATTGAAGAGATCAGCTGGATTCAAAATTATAACAATCAGAATGTTACACAGATTCCAATGATTCTGCTACCTTCTGGTGGTGTTTTAGGGTATTAGGAGATTCAGTTGCAAAGCAAGAGAATCTTGGAAGTTTTATCATATGCTTGTTAATTGGAAGAATTGTGGGATTAGATTTGGGGAAAATGCATAACAATGATGTATGAATATGACTCCTTTTAAGAGAGTTGAATTTCATGGATTGTTGTGTGTGTGTGTGTTGTGTAGGATCATGGAGTGAATTGGAATCTTGAATGAATTGTTAGTTCAAGTTGGAAAATAGTCCCACACCACATTTAATGAGAGAAAGAAGAAAACCGCAGGGGGGGGGGGAGTAGAAAATGCTAGTTAATATATTTGAGGTCAATTTGGTGGTTAGGGGAGTGACAGCTGCATTGCAATGCAAAGTTTCAAGTCTGTTCCCTGTCCCAAAATAAATATAAACAATTGGCCTTCCTTGATATAGCGATGGCTCATCTGGCTTCGTCGTCCAAGCCCAGGCTGTGGCTGATAGTTTTTTGGCTCTAAAATTTAGTCCCTGCCTGGCCCAGCCCAACAGGCCCATATTTTAAGACAGATGCGGCATATGTTGGTTGGGCCTGCTCAGCCCAGCAGGCTGGCATGGATCCTTGCGGCCTATTAACATCATTTCACCTCATCTTAAGTACCTTTCTGCTTTTAACTACCTTGTGATGCACATAATCCATGAGTTCTCAAGCAAACAGTGCAAGATGACTTACAAGCAGTGTTCGCAAAATCAAACCGGAACGGTTAACAGGAGATGGGGCTTGGAGCGGTTAGAACTGAACCGCACTAATTGGTCTGGTAGATTTTTATTTATTTTAAAAAGGCCAAAAATGCCAAAAAAACATAGATTTAGTGTATATTATCTTATTCCTACATTCGGTCTGGTAGATTTTTTATTGATTTTAAAAAGGCCAAAAATGCCAAAAAAACATAGATTTAGTGTATATTATCTTATTACCTACATTTATCTTAAGAATTGTTTTTTTGTAGATGACCAAGGTGATCAATAACCACTTTTCTCGAGCCTGCTATCAAATCCAAAGCTTAAAATTTGAGAGGGTTGCAAATCGTTTTGCTCGGAAATAGAATGATCAATGAAGAAAGCAATAGGAAAGTGAATATGTATTCTACAACAATGCAAACTAAAATAGCATCCTTTGAGGGCATAATCGGGCTAGGATACTGCTATTGTTTTGCAGTTTCATACAAGAACAGTAGAACAAATAATTTTATCAGAAAAAATAATTTTATTAAGAAAAATAGAAAACACTTCCCCATATTCATCAAAAAATATAATTTTATTAAAAATAATAATTTTATCAAAAAATAATTTTATTAAGAAAAATAAAAAAGCACTTCCCATATTTATCAATAAACATAATTTTATTAAAAAAACATAATTTTATTAAGGAAAATAGGAAAACACTTTCCATATTCATCAAAAATCATAATTTTATTAAAAAAATATAATTTTTTTTAAAAAATAATTTTATTAAGAAAAATAGAAAACCACTATCCATATTCATCAAAAAACATAATTTTATTAAGCCAAATAGAAAAACACTTCCCATATTCATCAAAAAACATAATTTTATTAAAAAATATAATTTTTTAAAAAATAATTTTATTAAGCAAAATAGAAAACCACTTCCCATATTCATTAAAAACATAATTTTACTAAACAAAATAATTTTTTTTAAAAAAAAGTCGATTTCTCAAAAACCCCTAAAATCAAGCAACATTTCGAGCAAGAAATAACAATCAATGTTAGAATAATCGAACAAATCAACACACACACATTGTAAAGGCTTCGATCATCTTTGAAACATAGCAAATTTTATCAAAAAATATTATGTATTTTGGATTTAATTGATAAAATGGCGCAAATTTCAGATCTAAGCAATTTTCATTACATTCGTGAAACAAAAACATTCATATAAAAAAATTTAATCAAACATAAATAAACATACCGATTGTATTTGAGATATGGAGCCTTGATGATCGAAATACACAACGCACTTTGATAAAAAAGGCCAGTAATTGGATAAAAAATATGCTTTTTTTGGACCGAACACAGGTTCTTGAGCAGCAGCTTTTCGGGCCAAAATCAACCCATGATCTTGTGTGTTTTGAACAAATTGAAATATGAATCAGGTAAATACTTCAAATACCTATCAAAAACCTCAAATTTCATCAAGAACCATTAGGTATTGAAGATATTATTGAAAAAATGGCGGAAATTTAAAAAAAAAAAATAAAATCCGTCATTTCAATCCAGGAAACTCCTTTTTTCTCGATGTTTAAATCCAAATTCATTGTTTTATATTCATTATATAATGATTTAAAGCATTAAAGAACGAAAAAAAGCCAAAAATGGCTGGAGATCGAATCAAAAAAGGTGAAAAATTGATTCATGGTTTTCCTGCTACATATAACGCCCCCTATTTCAAATAACGCTTGTTATTAATGCTGTACCGTTATATACTAAGAAATGCCGTTATATTGGCTAACCGGTCCGGTTATGAGAAAACCGACCGGTTAGGCAAAAAAACAGCCGGTTCTACCCCTTACCGGCCGGTATTGGGCCGAAAATTTTACGGGGGTATTACCTAGGCTACTAGACAAACAAAACCGGCCCTAACCGAACTTGGAACCGTCGTGGATTCGAGCTAACCGGCCGGTTTTTCAAACAAGATGTTGAATGTCGCTACTGCTGTTCTCAAGCAGTGAGTCAAATAAGCGAGACTTGTAGGGTCAGAGTGCATGACTATTGAATTGGAAATCCAAAAATTGTTACAAATGTGTGTTGCAGCCACCGTTGGAGAACAGTCTGGCTTTTGAGCTTACATTAGGATGAAATTTGGAAACCTGTCCATAAGATGGATGGCATAAGATAAGTACTGAATAATTTGGTGATCTTTCTCATTAGCAATGGATGCTTTGTGAATCTGTTAGTCTACAGATGCTTTGTGAATCTGTTAGTCTACAGATGCTTTGTGAATCTGTTAGTTTACAGGTGTTTTGAATAGATCCTTGTAGTCAATGTCCATTTTTTTCATATTATGAAGTGGGAGTAAGATATTACAAGCAAGTATTGATGAAGTTCTATAGTAAGATGGCATATTTTTTTGTTTTACAACAATGCAAGGAATACATGGCTTAAAATGAAGACTCTAAATTGCTTGATCTAGAGTGTACTGCTATTTCTGAGTTTTGGAAAAATGACATGGTGAGTGTGATTGTTCTCATCTGGATGACAGCCCATTGTGGGCATTTCCTTTTCCCTTTTCAGAATCTGTGCTGCTCTACATTTTTTTCATGGTTTAGTGTCAACTATATTTAGATGTTGGACATCATCTGAACAATTTAATGTCATTATCATTTTACAATCTGCAGGCAACTGTCCATGTAGTTGTGTCACACATTGGAGCTGAATTATGTGAGTGGCAAACACCAACGCCTACTCTTTGGCAAGAATACAACTACAATGCTAACTCAGGTATTTCATCATTTTCTGAATTTTTCGATATGGGTATTCTGAATGTGAAGTTTATATGCTTAATGGTGCAGCCCATTGGTCATAGTTACGTGTTCCTTTTTTATGCTCTCTTGCTCTCCCTTTGAAGTCATAGATTATATGCAATTGCTACAGTTCTTTCAATAGTATATTTCATCAAATGGGCTCTGCATAACATGGTAATTACAGAGTTGTTTTCGATACTGATACATGTGATTTTGTTGGACACTGGTACCTATGCCTGGCTAGGAATATCTTATATATCAAAGCTGGATGAGTTTGAAACATTTGTGGAGAAAATAAGGAAGTATCCATCAATTTCATCAAGCTCTAGGGAATGCTCAAAGAAAAATATTGTAATGTTAATTGACGACCTTCCTGTGACAAATGGGCGCGCTGCTGATGGGCGACTTCGTCACTGCTTGCATTCGCTTGTTATATCAAGCCAGTGCCCAACCGTTATATTGATCACTGAGAGCTCAAAGACTCAATCTGGGGAAGAATTACTGTTGTTACTAGAAAAAGCTGGTGCATCTAAGGTAATCTTCTTTCCGTTCATATAGCTTAGGATCTTGACATGTTAGTAGCAATGGTGAAATAACATATTTGAAAAAATTATGCAGTTAGCTTTCAATCCTATCACAGCGAATTCTATCAAGAAGACTCTTGTCAGAATTTGTAGGGAAGAGATGTGCTCTGTCACTCCAGAATGGATAGACCATATCGCAAAAGGAAGTGGGGGTGACATCAGACATGCAATTACAGCATTGCAGTACCTTTGTTTGAGACCCAATCTTTTGGTCTCTTTACCATTATCCATTCCGATTTCCTGTTCTTCAAAAGGTGAACCCGGTGTGGTCACCAGTGTGCAAAGCTTTGAGGGCCTGGATGAGAAATTCTTTTCGTTGTCAATGGGTAGAGATGAGACACTTTCCTTGTTTCATGCCCTGGGGAAGTTTCTCCACAACAAGAGAGATACAGAGCAACCTGCTGACTTGGGTATGTAATTATAATTGATGAGTTTTATTTCTCTATAGGACCTGGGTATTGAGCAACACAGAATGCTAAAATGCTTAAGCAATATTAGAGAAGAAGAATTTGTTAAGAATTATGATATTTTTCATTGTAGATGATGATTTGTTTTTAAAAGCTTCTAATCCCTTTGTAGACTTTGTGATAATCTCACATAGTCTATTTGAGGAACTTTGTGATTTCTATAAGGATGGATCTTAAACTTCTACATTTTTCAAGGAATATGCTCTGTTGGATTCTAGTTATTGGAAAGATGATGGGCTGATGGGGTGCTTCACATTCTCCAGTTGCATGATGGGATTTTTACCAATATATACTGGTTTATGTTGTTCATGGAAGTTTTTAGACATATCATAACTGGTGTAGATTTTCCTTCTAGTAATCTTGTTGTATCTTTGATGTTTCAATTAATCATCAAACTGTTAAATTTAGTAACTCTCCCTGTTTTCCAGAAATTGTCGCCTAGTGTCTTTTCTTGGTGTTCAAATTGTACCAAAAGGTGCAAAGCTTGTTTCTGTAATTTTAGGCTAAAGGTGTAAACATGAAACAATGCTTTTCAATTTGTTGGAAGTGGTGTTACCAAAATTTGTAGTTTAGATGATTTGCAGTAGCAGACAATAGAGATGGTTGTCTATCCTTATAATTATAGTTTCAATTGGGAGCTGAGAAAATGGCTTAGCATATAGATAATTAAGAAAACAAAATGTAAAAGAGGTGCATATTCTTAAAGTGGCTTTACATGTGCATGATATTGACTTTCAAAGTTATCATTCATTGATTGATCCAAATGTTAGCAATCCATGGCAACTTGTCTCATCTTCCCATGTCTATGTGTTTATTTGCAAAATTCGTGCGAGAAATAACAAAACTTTATCAGCCTTAGTTTGCAATAAACCTAATCAATCTGAAATTAGTAGAAAGAGGGTTCCGTCAAATTGTGGGCTACAAAAGGTCGACCTCACGGCTTCCCTTCTATAGTCTACTTGCTGCACTGGCTAGAGTTTTGCCAAAAACCAATAGAAAGTTTGGACATACCTAGAAAACCAGAAGAGTTTGAAAAAGCACTTAGAAATAGGAAAAAGACTAATCATGCACGGCAAAAGAGAAAAAAGAAGGAAAATGACGACGACATCTAAAGTTATAAATCTTAGCCTTGGAAAATCTGAAAAGCTTCAAAGCTTACAGAACATGAAGAACACCACTCATTTCTATGAACTCCTATTCCAGGCTTACTATGATGGCCTTTACTTATACCATAAAATTTATGCTTGACGCAAGCACTGGAGGTAGGAGGCAAAATTGCATGAACTTGGATGAGGGTGTGTTACACTAGCAAAGGACCAAGTGGATCAAGTTGTTCTCTGTGATGGTTCCAAGTTCCAACTAATTTTTCGCTGCTACCCATTTTCCCAACATCACTAATACCCTGCCTAATTATCTATTAGGCGACCCTACTGATCTCATCAAGTATTTTGTTAATTCTCTCCTCGCGTATCATCATAGAATGGAATGAAAATCCCCCTATCCTTCCTCCATGATATGCATTCCATTAAACAGTTAAACTGCTAAATTGGAACTCCACATTCTTTCTGTTTTTCATCTTTCTGCTAGCTTGAAATGGCCCTTGACGTGCTTACAAATTTGTTTAGGCAACTTACATTAAAATCCTTTGTTGCCCATGTTGTCCTCTTTCACCAAGGCAAATATGGAATTACCAAGAAGGTTACGTGAGTCATTATTCACTATGTATCTAGATAATGCAAATTGTGTCTTCTGTGAGTAAGTTCGGGTTATTGGTTGTTTTTTCTCTTCTTGTCCCATGTCACTGTTGTTTACTTGATACGGTTAATGTGGGCATGTAATTATCGATAAACCAATTTAAGGATTATTGGACAAAAAGTCTGTAGACTTTTACTTTGTCTTCCAAATGGAAATAAGAAGCCAAAAGAAACACAATCAATTCTGAGGGCCTCTACACGATACTTGACTGCTCCAACTATGATGTTGTGCTTCTTCTTTCTTGGGGTTTTCAGCCGGATCTGCCAGAATGTCTTAGGGGAGCTAATTACCCGATAAAATAATTACCTCCGATCTGTTGGAGGTGTTTATGGATCAAGTCTTAGATTTTGACAAAACTAAAACACTAACTTGTACTTTTACAAGTATAGAACTACGTTGGTTTGGGATTACCCATCAGAAGTAGTCTGAGGACTATTTATGCCCTTCATTACATTGACTATGGATGAAAAACCCAAATTCTCTTACTCTCTATGTTGATTCGGGGTTTTCTTGAAATTTACATATGGGCGAAATGGAAAAACGGCTAAGAGTAAGAAAAGAAAATGCTGATTTGAAAAAAAAAAAACAGATCAAGAAAAAGATTTGGTATGAAAGGTAAAAGAAAAACTTGTAGTAGTCATTTGAAGATAGGAGGAAAAAGAACCAAGAAATCGAAGAGAGGAAATAATGAATTGATAAACGAGATATTTATAAATTTTGAACTATAACATGCTAGTAATTTTTTTTTTTTACTTTTAGTTAATTTTTATTTATGGTTGGTCATTCATACGTCTAATGCTCTCCTGCTTGAAAATACATTGACTACAATTAAAACTAATTCTTTGTGGAGTATAAATTGTTGATGGTAACCTAAGGTTCATGGCTCTAGATTCTAAGGCAAAGAACACATAAATGTTAGGAATTTCACTGGCAGAGTGTCCTTGTAGACAAGTTAAACCGTGGTTCCATTTGTGAGGGAGACATATTCTAATGAAGATGAGAAGTTTTTCCCATCCACATTGATCTGAATCAGTAACTCACTGAATCCAAGTCTAGGTCCTGGTTTATAAACAATGGATCGGCCATCCTCTTTCTACTATAGATTCGTTTATGTGTGACATGAGCCTGTCTCTTCATTAACACTTCAATTAACTCAAGCGCCGATTCTATCTATAGAGATCCCATGTTATCAGTACTAGATAGGCAATTGCATTAGTGGAGGCATTGGTTTGATCTAGCCAGTTGAACTAGACTAGTTCATTGGTCAGAGTATTCAAATTTAAAAAATAGAAATAAAAAATAGAAAGGAAAGACAAGAAAAGATAGAATTTGGAATGCATACATACAAGGGAACTTAGGTAGGGCTTCTATAGGCGATTGAAGATGAGGGAAAGTAGACTTAGGTGAGCTGACCATGTGTAGTGAAGACCTAATACAACTCCGATTAGGAAGTTTGATTCAGTTGAAATAGAAGGCTCTAAAAGGACAAGGGGAAAGTCCTAAAAGACATTGCTAGAAGTAGTGTAAACAAGATATGGTGACTTGGTATGGTCCTTGATAGAGAAGAATGGAGGAACAAGATTCATGTAGCCGACCCCAAATAATTGGGATAAGGTTTGGATGATGATAATGATTATGAAATTAAAAAAAATAGAAAATTACATATGCATAAATTAAAATGGATGAAAATATGAAAAATCCTAAAAATACTAGAAATTTCTAAATAAATTAGGTTAACCTTTTACATAAAAAATAAATTCTAAATAAATTAGAAAACATTTTGAAAAAAATAAAGAAATTATGAAATCATAAATTAACAACTTGGAAGCCAAGAAGCCAGCAAAAAGTCAAAAATACAAAATAAGCAAGTATACATATGGTAGTTCTTTAATTCATTGAGTAGAAAATATTAAATTTGATGGGCATTAAGCTAGTCAAGTGAATCCCATATCCATACAATTGTCAAGGACTACAAAAGTCCTCAAAGCATAATTGCCTCACAAACAATAAATCATGGTATAGAAGTGACAAAGATGGCCAAACATGGCATTCAAACGTTTACATAAAGTTTGATGTTCAAAACTCAGAGTCTAAAAGATCGAACATCAAACTTCAATCCCCTAGACTTGCAAGTCATATTTAATCAAGAACTTCATCTTTATTTTCTCCTCCATTTTCTTCATTATTACCATCCTTTTGACATTCCCACGAATGATTTATTTGGTCCTTATCTCCACCACCTATGCGGAGTATGGCTATGTCTAACAAACCATAGTGTATCCACATGGTACTAGGAGTCTTGTATATGCAAAAAAAGAAGAAAAATCCAAAATAAACTTTGAAACGTAACCTTGTGGTGGTTCCATTTCTATCCAATTATTTAAGACATCTTCGAGCTTTTCGAGGACTGGTTGACCCTTTCTTCCATGACATCAATATTCTTCAAGTCAATGGGCTCTAGGCACTTCCTAGGCCTTGGAATGGTTTGGCAGTTTACATTTTCTTAAAACATTAAAAATTATACAATTATACCATGATAGAGCAATAAGATAACTCATATATAAATTGATAAGCCTCTCAAAACTCTTGATTTGAAAGGTATTGCCTAAGGAAACTTCTTGACTTAGAAAATTCAATAGGGCCAATAAGACTAGAGTGTGCCATCAATAAGGTAATCGGGTGTGGGGTGTACGAAATCCTAAGGGGGTGACCCTGTGCAAAGTCAAGTAAGTCTTCTCGGCTCTTTAAGTTTATTTTCAGACATTATTCGTCAGTTTTATTGAAATTTCCAAGAACATTATTTGCATTAGAAATCTTACCTTAAGCTTGCGTTCAATCCCTTGATTGTGTCAATTTTATTTTGGCTGTAAAAGAAAGATCCTAGGTTGTATTTAGGGTTTTATTTCTTGTTTATAGCCATGACACTTGTAAGTGGAATTCAAATATATTAATAAAATAAAACAGAAAAAATTGATTTTACTCCTAGGAATTCCATAGAGCCACTTCTTTCACTAAAATAAATTACAAAATCCACTTTGCCCCAAGGGAACTATACAATTCTGTATTTATCCTTGTTAAGTGTGTTATTCAACTTAGAAAATATTCAACTAATTGACATTAAATTTCATTAGGTCTGATTTTAGGAGCTCCTTCCTACATCTAATTTTTAGTTAAATTTAATATACTAA